GACATAAAATACTCATTGGCTCATTCTGCTTTCCCTTTACTTTGTAAACGCATTCATTACTGTTACAAAAAGGCTTCAAACACACGGTAATAAACAAAGCAAAAAACCAGGAGGGAAGTAATCTTGAAAGATCAGAAATGACGCTGCTAACTAGAACCTACTTCCAACAAAGTTCATATGGGTGGCACTCCTCAGAGATGGAAAATGTAACAAAACTTTCACCAAGGCTCAACATAAATCCAAATTTTGCTTCTCCACAATTATTGCTACTTGCTTATATTCTGAGATGCCTTTACAGTGTAACACTGAGCTAAGAGTTTTCACTGTAACTCTGTGGTAGGCACTGTATAGGCATGATGCTCAGCGAAGGAGCTCACTGCAGCTAAGTAGAAGTCCGAGTCAAAACTACATCTCCATTTCCCCAAAAAATTTTAACTAGAGTTGTGGACCTAAAGCTTCCACCTTAGTTCCCTTCCCATTCATAGCTTTCGGAGATTCTTCCAGTACTGATCCAAATCTATCTTAGTTCAGGTCACCTTTCTGGGCTTGATTTCAGCGATGAAGTACGGTTTGGCAGTGGCAAAGTGGCAGACCTCTTAACAACCTTCTCTGAATCAATATTGTCCATTTCACTCTTGGAACGGGGAACTGAAAGGTGGGTTCTGCCTGTAGGGTAAGTCAAATATAGGAATATTGGTGAACAGGATAGAAGGCAAATAAATACATGCTTTACATGCCCTTTCTGTTCAACAGATTACACAAGAAATGTGAATTACTTACTGTCCTCAGAATAGGAATAACGAGGAGAATATGAATCAGAATCTTCATCTGAAAGACAAAAGCATTTTGCAAGTGAGCTGAAAAAGCCCTAAAGAAGCTGACCACCAGAGACCCTTTTCATTTCTTCTACTATACAGCCATAATTTGAGTGATATGCCCAATACTTACCACAAGGAGAGGATCCTAAAAAAAGAAAATCCCAATGAGGTTTAAATTGCATTTAAATGTAATTCCTAGATTAGATACAAATATTAATGTACTACTTACACTAACACCTTTCTCCAGGCTCTGAAAGCACTTTTGAAAATGATCACTTTTTATCACAAAACTCCTCTACAGCAAGGGTTATTAGATCCATTTTATCAAAAGCTGAAAGATCAACAGAAGATCTAAAAGCCACAGTATATACCTAAAATAACTCATTAGGTGCTAGACACAGTAACAGAGCTGAGCAGTCCTGCTCTCAATCACATATGATAATTCCTGGGACATCTTCCTTGTATTAACTTGCACACCAAGTTGAAGTATGTTCACTGACTCAGATCATCTTTTAGGCATAGACAACACTGCTGGCACAAGACACAGGTATAGTTGAACCAAGAGACTGTCCTTGTTCTGAAGAGCTTACTTTTTAAATAGGAAAGACATGCCTATAGAGTGCAATAGAGATACTCAAGCAGCTCTGAAAGTGCTAGCAATGACACCAGTATCACTGAGTGGTGTGGTCTGGCCCCCAAGCTGAACAACCTTCTTTCTGTGACACTGGAACTGCTACACTGCATCAACACAGCAATGTCATTCCCAGGACACAACTGCTGGCTTGGGCCGTGGAACGACATACTGCCTTAGTCAAAGACAACATGGTACTGGAGTGTGCAAGGGAGACATACCCAAAAAAAAGGTGGGAGGATGGCAGCATTACCACCCCTCACTCTACAAGTGATGTCCAGAGAGACTTTGACTCAATCAAAAACCTAGTGGTATCTTTCCGCCATCTTCAACAGGCTTTGGAATGAAAGCTCAATGAATTGCAGGTAGTAGCAGGGGGAGCTAGGATCAGATCTGGAAACTGGAACCATGGGCCTATCACCTTTCTCTGCTGCTGAGGGTTCAAATTTGCAGGGATGTGTATATGAGACATCTACAGGACTTCCAAGGCAAAATGCAAAGTGCAATGCAATGACTGCAAAGAGAACTGTGAGCAAAGGTATTACTAATACCTTTGTGAATAAACCACTAAAAGTGACAGAGATAAAAAGACAGAAAACCGAAATAGATTAAGCTAGAATAAGCTAGATAAGAGAACATTCTAAAAATGCATTACGTGATTTTAGTGATGCTGATCAAAAGATTGAAACAATTTCCTGATCTTCTCTCAAGGAGGACATCAACCAGCTGCTTATAGCCAATCTCATCTGCTGGAAAAAACAATCTGGCTACACAGCTGATCTGAAATTGCACTCAAGCCTTAATCAAGCCTTTCACAAAGGCTCAAAGAAGTCTTAACTTTTAGTCTCTCTGCTGAGTTCTCTTGGTGAATGAATGAGGAGGTTTAAGTTCCAAACAGATGGTTATTGGCTCTGGTATGTTTATCATAAGCTTCAGGTTAAAAAATAGCGAAGGTCAATTTTCAGGCCAATTCCCATATTTTAAACCTAAATGACAGAAAACAAATATTTTATTTATTCAATGTTATTGCACTGAATTGTTTACAAACTTAACCAGTATTCCTATATAAAAGTTTGGTTTATTAGATAGTAAAATACTTGGTAAATCACAAACCTCTGTCTCTACAAATACAGATGAACAAATGTCTAAAACTATCTTCACAGCCATTCACGTCTCATAGTCTTATTTAGTGCTGGTGATCAACGAATAAATTGATTTACTTACTTGAAGAGAAATATCAATATTCATTTTAGCTCATCATTCAGACAGGAAAACCATACAGTAAACAATTCACTTCAGGTAAGTGCTCTTTTCCAATTGCTGATATTCTAATATCAGCAATAATAAGGAGAACGGGTCTCTGAGTATCTTATGATGAAGAGTGTCTACATTTCTTCCCTTTTTACAGCAAGGAATGCTGAAACACAGAAACCTGGAATGACTTGATAAAGATTAAAGAGTTAATCAGAGATGAGCATTACAATAAGATCTCCTGGCTCTCAGAGCTGCATTCTATCTATAGCATCCTCCTTAATGGAGCAGGGTATCACCAGTTTGTAATTTCAAAATCCAATTCCTTTAGCAAGAAGAGGCTGTTCCCTAGTAGTTTCTAGAGAATCTTCAGGTTTTGTTTGATTTTTCCATGGCTTGGCCATACCCTCTATGTTTCTAGAGACTCTAAAGGTATTTTAGAGGGGAGCCCAAATCTTGGTGTTTCTAGGAGATTGTATGCACCAATCCAAAGCAAAAAACTCTTGACACTGACTGTATGAAATTGAGGCTTCAACCCATTTCTGTATAAACACTTTGCCACTGAGTATATAACTTCGAAATTTTTTCTAATCATTAAACATGCACTGCAACCCATCTACATGGTCAGATATTCCCAATTCCTTTTCAAGGAAAGAATCCAAGCAAATATTAAAGAAACTTCCTAACATATTCAGAATAAAAAGCAAGTGTTTGGTCCAATAAAATGGCAACTACCTAAACCAGAAAATTACTTTCATATGCACATTTGTAAGTGCATAGGGGACATTTATGGGAAACCAGACTCTCAATGTATTATCATCATTGGCTTAGCAAACTACATAAGTTCAGACAAGAGCAAAATGGATTTTCAAACATCACAAAGAAGAAAATTGAATCTCTGTAAAACTCCTTTATCAGTTAGTTACTGAGACTCTTTATTTCACTCTCATCCACACCCACCTTCTATTGCCAACAGAAAATAATTTACACTGCATTATGATCAGCAAGACAAGATTCTTCACCTACAGGTGTCACCAAGAAATCAGCAAGTATCTTAGACACCTGCATGACACTCATCCATATTCATTTTAACAGTGAAATGCGCCTTCCAACTCCTAGTCTTCTTTGAGCATCTCAGCTCGAACCTGTATTGTAAGCTTCTTACACAGTTCCCACCAGACGTTTAATATAAACACCGAATTAAATGGTTAATTAATAGTCTCACCAGGGCTGGCTTGAGGCACAGGCTAAGTAGCAAGTTCCTAAATTGCAGGATCTAAAGTGACATCAAAGCACCAAGTCAACAGGGCCAGCACCAAGTCAACAATTTCCCAATCAGGAAATGTCTGTATGTCCAATGTGTGCCAGCGGATTCCAGTGTTTCTCATACGTAAGTGTAACACACAATTATATGATTGCCACTGCAATAGATGCTATTTCACCATCCCTGAAACATGACTTCAAAGGATTTTGGTTCGTACATGAAGTTTAAAGGAATCTGCTGAGCACATGAAGCGGATAAGGCAAAGACAGTGTTATTTCAAGTTGCAAGATGTGCTGACAAGACCGTTGAACTCTGTCCTTGCCTAGATATGCCAAGTGCACCTAAGGCCAGCCCTGAACCTATGTTACCAAGTTATATCTATTTTAAAAGACTACATTGAGGGACTGATCCAAAACCCACTGAAGCAAGCAGCCTTTTTACCAATAGACTTCAGCGGCATTTCGGGTCTGGCCCTAATACTGTGTTAATATTCAAAACCAGAAGGAAATAATTAAAGAAATGTATCCATCTGAAATGGGGGCAGGAGAAACTTCAGTTAAATCACATCTTCACATGTAAGTCAGCATTCTAGGCATGTTAAATAATCACTGCACACACACGGCTAAATACAACTGATAAGCACATAAAACCAAGCAACCCCAAGTCTGTAGCATTAGTCAAACACTAGTTACAAAGCCAGAGGAGCACTGCAAAGCCAAAAAGGCATCATACAGTCAAGGCAATGCTTAGAGTGCAGCAAATCATTATGAGGCAGCATAATGCTCAGCAACTAGAAAAAATTCCAGGAAGAAAATAAATAAGGCAGCATTTGTGCAGAAAAATATATATGGTCCTTTATTATTACCTTCAGAGATAGGACTAGGAGTAGACGCAGGAAACTGGTATGTAGGAGAATAAGGATTGTCTTCTGCAGCAGAGAAAAGCAGTGGATTTTGAGACTATCCACAGCAAAGTGGAGGTTCTGCTTCATCCCCCAATTTCCTATTACCATATGATTTACCATATTGCCTACTTTAATAATACTAGAGTAAATGGCATCATACTTTAAAAAAGATTAATGGATTAGCAAAGATTTAGTTATTTTATGCATCACACAAGAAGGTATACTGGGCACAACTGAATTTCCAGCCAGTGTAAAACATGGGTAACAGAAATCTAGAACCTGAATCTAGTTACTATTAGGGTGCTATAGTACAGTTAACTCAAAGCACAAGACAACAGATACTCTGACTAAACTTCTGGTACCTTCATTTTTTTGCTGGATTTCAGGAAGTTCAGGAAATATGTAGGTAGGGCAATAAGGGTTTTCTTCAGGAGTGTCTAAGGAGAGGAACATGATTTGCAAAAAAGAACAGAGAGGACAGATTTAAAGGGGAAGAAGGGCGAGACAAGAATCCATACAAGCTGACTGCAGAACAGTCCCTCTCATCCTGATGTTCTAGGACGACACAACCTAGATGCCTCTTTGCTCATTGCTGCCTTGCATGTTTGGGCCCTGCAAGAGATCCTGGAAGCTGAGGGGACTAAACTCATTCTCCTCCTTTTGAAGCATGGGCTCTGGCTGAGCTGAAGAACCTCTGTTAGGAGCAGTGGGATCAGGAAACAGTTCAACTCTTTCTCATTCCATTCAGTACAACACAGCATTTATCTATGCATAAAGCTCATCACGACACACCTGCAGAGGCAAATACAGCTCCAGTTTCGCATGCTCTGCGTTTTATTATATAAGCACAGTTCTGAATCGCATTTTCCTGTACATCAGGCTGTTCAGACAGTTCAGTTTGCAAATGCTACTGCAGCCATTTTTCACGCAGAAGAACAAACATGAACACAGCAGCAGCCAGGCACAGACGTGCCCCAAAGTAGGGGATCCCCTGAGACTGCACCACTACGAAGTTTGCAAGTGCTCACCATAATTTTAGGTTTTGAAAGGAGAAAATTTGAGGTTTTGAAAAAGCAGAGTTCAGATTCTGAACTCACTAAAAATCAATGGAAACCTTTCCATTGGTTTTCAGTGAACTTCAAATCAAGCTTTGTTATGCAGGTACTGAAGCTTCACAGTGTGAAAAGTTTTGTCTTGTGCACAGAGTAGTTTCAGTCATAACCTACTGTCCTTCAAAAGTGTGTGTGCGGGTGGGTGGTTAGATGCTAAAACTGGAGTTTGGGGATCTACTTTCTCCAAGTATGGAGTTATTAGCAGTTTTCTGATCTCAAATGGTACTCTTGATTTCATGAGGGCACTGCAATTCACCTTTCAGAACAACTCAGACCTTTCTTTGGACTTCACTGTTCACTCACTTTTGATTTCAGAGATTTCAAATACATTGGTTGAGTTCTGTGGTGCAGAGCAAACACTAGTTAACAAAAAATGCTTTTATGTAACTTCCAGTACAATTCTTCACATGAATGAAACAAAATGCTATCAAAGTGGTCTTTTAAAGTAAATAAAACACAACTGTATTACAGTACCTCTATTTAGCTTGTGGATCTGTTTAAACATTGTCTTGTACCAGTCCTTCGATCTGTCTGTATTCTATTAGAAAAATAAATATACACAGAAATAATCACAACCATGAATTCTACCAGCCTTTCAAAGTTCTTGCAACTCTTCCAGCATGAAAAAGTTTACACTCTGCTATATGAAATTAATACTTCGACAATGAGTGACTTCACTCAGATATATAATCCCACACATAATGAAGCTACAGGCTACACTCAAGTTAATAATAATGTAAAAGCTTTGCAGGAGTAGGCTGTAATCTGTGTAGACCTGTAGATTGTGTGGAAGGTTTTGCATATTAATCTGATTCGACGTCTAAAAAAAGACACCTTGCCTATTTTAGTCATACATACCAATTTCCTAAGCATTCAATGGACAATTGGAAACATTCAGTGTTCAAGTCACTCCAGACACTAGTTGTATGAATAGGTTAAAAATTCTTTTCGTGATAATTTCCCCTGAACACTAAATGAACTTAAACATATTGTATAGAAGAGATATCCACCTTTAAGATTGCTAAAATCATAGAATGGTTTAGATTGGAAGGGACCTTAAAGACCACCTAGTTTCAACCCCCCTGCCATGGGCAGGGACACCTTCCACTAGACCAGGTTGCTCAAACCCCATCCAACCTGACCTTGAACATTGCCAGGGAGTGGGCAGCCACAACTTCTCTGTTCAGTGTCTCACCACCCCACAGTAAAGAATAGCTAACCTACCTTCTTTCAGTTTGAAACCATCACCCCTTGGCCTATCACTACACTCCCTGATAAAGAGTCCCTCCCCACCTTTCCTGCAGGCCCCCTTTAAGTACTGGAAGGCCGCTGTAAGGTCTCCCCATAGCCTTCTCTTCTCCAGGCTGAACAACCCCAACTCTGAGACAAAACTCTCCCTTGGCTGCTAGCTGTGAATGAAACAGAAGAGCAGAAAACAGAATTCTCAAAAATGATGAAAAGAGATATTAATTTTTTGTTTCCCCCTCCCACCCCGAGGCAGCTGAAACAGGTCATTGATAGCGAATGTGAGTGTTCATAATAAAATATGTTAGAACTAGAATTCTATCTTCCCTTAAATCTCTGCAGCCACTGGAGCTTCAGCAAATGCCCCAAGTCCTAAGGCAGGCAGAATCTAGCCCAGATTTTGCGCATCGACCATGTATGTGTGTTGTCTTACCCTCAGTGGAATGCCAATATCATCGACGGAGGTATCAGCCATGTGGTGAGGGCTCTTGACAATGCTTCTCTTCTCCTCCATTGCCCTCTTCTCACTTGGCACTGTCTCCTGAACCGGCTTGTCCCGTATGAGTGCTGAATCAACTTTATCAGAAACTAGTCTCTCTGGAACTGAATCTGGAAATGACAATGGCGGATTCTTATCTCACCCTAGCATTTCATCGCAACACCATATTTTGCTCTTTTAAGGCAAAAACCCTAGCAAGTAGTTGATGAGACAGACTGTGTCAGTGCTAGCTGTGGTTAGCATCTGGACTGAAGGAAATTTACCAAGAAAATGTTTGACCCCAGCAAAAGCAGTCTAGCTAGCATCTCTCAGATAGTTACCTTCATGCATCTCATGACAGGCTCAGCTGTCATGTAAGACAATGGAAAATTTTGGTTTCATGACTGTTTAGGGCCTGTTTTTTTGTGTCTTTCTGACTAATTAGTGTCTCTGCAATCTCATTCTTCGTCAAAAAGCACCAGTGATACAGTCTCCTAGACTTCTTTTTCTGATTATGATTTCAGTCTAATGGAGCATTCCACATGGTAGTGGGGCACTACTTTTTAACAGCTTGCACTCACCTGCCTGACAATCCCATTCATTACAGTCAGTATATGATGCTTCCAATTCATCCCTACACCCTAACCACTGTTTGTAAACAACAAATTCCACTGTTTAAGCATACATATGATTCCTCTCGTACATAAGTCTGCGTAAAGATGGGGGGAAATAACTAATTGCTCCAGACTGCCTTGTTTCCACTTGGAATTCCTTGATGCTGCCCAACTGACACCCATATGTAGCAGCAGGCACCACCACTGACCAAGGAACCAAGGGAGCTCAGGTTGCTCTGAAGCTCTACTATGCTCTGAAGAGCTGCAGCACAGCAACCCTTAGGCTATGCTGAGCACTTTTTCTATGTGGATTTTCTGGAGAGGAAACATCTGTGATTTTACAGTCTGCCTCATCAAGACTTTGCCAAGTCCTATTCTTTTTACATCACTGCATGCAAGAAAGAGAGAGAGAGAGAGAGAGAGAGAGAGAGATAGGTATGTTTATTCACATGCACATCACCATACTGCCCAAAACCATTAAATGTGCAGAAATCTGAAAGGGGCTGTTAGTAGAGGAAAGGCTCGTGCATAACAAAGCACTGGTTTGTTGGTACCTTGAGCAAACACAATTCTGCCCTGCAAAACTCAGTATGTGAAGGATTTGTGTTTGAGTGGTTGGTTTGAAATTACCATTAAACCTCAAGGCTTCCTCCTCTTCAAGAAAAAAAAAAAAAGAAATTATGTTTATAAATGTTCAAAAATCACACAAAGCATCTATTAAATCCTTGTTTAGCATTTTCATCCTGTTGCCCCTCCCTGTGAATGTGTGCACTGTCTTTTGATCCTTTTGTGTCCCTGGTGTACAGGGCTTTCCATTTCACAGGAAGTATTTGGTTCATTTCCATTACTAAACTCCTTACTAAGCCTCTAGGAACAGAACATGGAGAGAGCAACTGAAACTAGACCATTCTTCCATGACCTCAAAGACCAAGAGGAAGCAGTTTTGGATGTGGATGAGCACGTGGAGAGGATGCAAACTTTATGAAAGGTTGCAGCTTTCTTCCATTACTTACTACCGTCACTGCTGATGTTACAAGTCCTGAGCTTCTATTCTAGAAGAGTCATTATTTTCTGCAGGCTGAAGAATTCAATGCCAGAAAAGGTCACAAAGTCCTTCTCTAAGAGGACTGGTAAATCTATATGATTTCTCTTTGATTCCCTAGGTCCCTGCACTGGAAAAGTGGTTGGCTGTTTGCCAGGTAGATCCCATCTGAAACTGTGATGATACTGTTCATAATACCTAATATAGATGTAAACAACAGAGTAAATGTGTCGCAATCTGGTTTGCCAGTGCCACAGCCATGATCTAAGCAAAATCTTTATTTTCATGATTTAGCAAAAATAAAACCCACCATCTGGCCTGTGCCAGTCATCTCCTAACCATGAATTCATATCTTTAATATTATAACATGAAGGTTTGAAAGCTTTCTAGCATGGCAGAGCTGGGGGGAATCTACCAGCTAGTTAAATGTATTTTCAAGGAGTTTTCAAAAATATTTTTTGGAGTACACTTAGAACCGGCTGAAAGTACTAGACTGACAACCCTGGAGACAGGAAAGGCCTGTCTGTCAGCATGAGCTGTATTAGGGCAAGCCCCACTGTGCACCCTGCCAGGTAAGTCCTTCCTAAGTCCACAGGACTCAACCAAGAGGACTGGCTTAGCTGCTGGTCGAGTTCGGCTGCTCAGCTGATACTGCAAACAGAGACAACTGCTGCACGGGTATCTTTGCAGAGGGAGGAAGTAAAGCAGACATCTTTCTCCATAGATTTCCTACAATACCCTACAACTTGGAGAATAACAGCTAAACTTCATACTGACTTATTTGCCATGCAGCTCCAATGATTTCAAAAGAGTTTATAGAGGTATATACCAGACTTTGAGGTACTCAAAAGTCAGAGAGCCAAATCTGATGCTTAATCACCCAAATAATCAGATTGCACCAGTCAGCACACTCCATGGCACCTGAGCAATCCTTTTGCAAGAGCAGCAGCAATATATGGGGTTGCACAGCAAAAGAGTTTTACTGCTGTGACCAATAGGACACAAAAAGCAGGGGGGAGGTGGTAGACAGCAGCTTTGTGTGGTTGTTTCGGCACATTGAGAGCAGGTGTGCCACAATGTGCTCCACTCTTCCAGGCTAAGGATCATTTGAGCTGCAATAAACTGCTCTGTGGCTATCTCTAGTTCAGAAAACAAACGAGTTGCTGATAATGAAGGGAAACACCTTGTGAAAGGGAAAACCAACAGGAAACCTTTGTCCCGACTTGCAGGCAAGTGTTAAACTCGCAGCTGAGGAGCTGTGTCCGATGAGACAACACCTACACTAAGGAAAGGAGCTGAGAAACTGGTGTAAGCTGTTATGCAGCCTGTTACCTCAGCAGGGTGGCAGCAGAGAGGACGGACAGGCTGGTGTCGCAGCCGAAGGAACCTGGTGGATGAAGTCGGACCAGGTCAGCAGCTGCCATCCTCACGGGATCCTCAGCATCTTCCCTCCTACCTCTCCATCTACCCTGCCACGGCCATAACCAAAGAATAATACTATGGGTAAGCAGTGTGTAATGTGCTGTTCCTGTAACACCCACTGCAGACTGAGCTACTTCTGTTTGGGGTGTGGGGAGGGAAAGATGACAAGGAAAACAACTTGGTCTTCTTTCAAGGACAGACTTTCACACCCGTTGCAAGAGCAGAGAGCTGCTCAGGGAAGAGTGGCAGCACACGCTTACTTGCACACTAGAATTTTATCATCTATTTCTTGACATCTGGCACAAATACTTCTGCTCTTTGAGTCATATAAATACTGATTTTTATTTCTCTTCCTCTCCCCTCACCACAAACAATACTAACTCTAATGGCAGTATAGAGAAACTTAAGAATATACCCCAAGGGAATAAACCTAAAGGCTCAAAAGGCAGCCACAAAAGTCAATTAGAACAACCAAACTGAATGACTTAGGAGGAACAGCCAAGTAATTTAGGGTTTCAGCATATTAACATGTGGCCACATAGGTAGCATTTGGAGAAAAGACTGAAATCAAACATTCAGTGACCTGGACTAAGCCAGGACAAATATTTATACTAATTCTTTGCAGTTCCTGGGAAGTGTATTTGCTAAAGGTACTCCACAAGCTAAAAAAGCAGCAGCTTTGCTTCAGCAGAAGCAGCAGTTGGAGGGTAGCAGACCTTTCACATCATACCTGCCAGGCTACTAAGCCTTTTTTGCTGTTCTGTGGTAAATGAAGAAACAAAACAAAAAGAAATACAGAACAAATGGGTGAGACAAACAGCAAGTGCTCTGGTGCTGCATTTCTGACAGGCAAGAAATACGCTGTAGACAGAACGGCAGCAGCTGCTGGAGAGAATCTGTTTTCAAATAACCTGCCAAAGTGAAAGCCCACAGTCCCGTCTCCACCCAGCAGCCTCGTGGAATAATATAAATCTCATGATGCAGTGACCAATACATTTGCAAAGAGCATTTTAATTTTTTTTTTTTCTTAACATCAGAGAAAGAAAAAAGTTGGACAGTAAAGACCCACAGAGTCAAACAACTTGACAACTAACTCTGTTACCATTAGCATGAAGTACATTTTGAAACAACATTGTGTAGCATTTCAAAGGGATATAGGAAAGGATCGAGTCTTTGGTTGCTTGCTGAGTCTCATCACATACTACTAAGTCGCAGATTCAGTGATTTGCACACAGACACAGCTTGGTTAAGGCTTTGATTCCCAGAACGATCCCCTTGGTTTAAAGCCTTTCATTACTGAGTTCCCAGACGGCGACATTTGTGGTATCTCCCATAGTGTTTGACCACCCTGAAGTTGATGCTTACAGCTGCTTTCTAAAGGGATGCCCATATGACTTGCCCAAGTCACAGCTGGGAATAAACCAAGAATTCTTAGCTCTGTTCTCTGCTCTTTCTACTCCCTAGAAATTAATCCTTTCATTTAAAGCATGAAAGCCATTTGAAAAGTATAAACTGTTTTATTGACATACAAAATACAAACATTCTTGAAAGCTAGTATTGTTAATGCAAAGATTTCAAAACTTTAATATATTAATCACACCTATTATATATTCATAAAAAACCATGCCATGCAATGTCTGTTCAGGAAATAACTGCTTTGGGGTGGCATAGGACACTTACCAAGCAAGTCTGCAGTAGGTAACAACCCTCCAGGTGTATGCTGTTTGCTAGCAGAACCCACCTTCACTAGATGTTTGTACTAAGTAGATCATCTCAGCAAGGGAGACTGGTCTTTAACTCCAACACTTCTGCTCTGCTAATCACCAATGGCAAGCTGCTCATGTGCATTATGCTCATATGATAGCTGCCAACATATGAAACAACCCTCTAAATGCAATGGGTAAAAGGAAGGGTTAGCAATCTGAGCCTGAAAAGTAGATGGGAACCACTTGCTGCAGGGTTCACTCTTCTAAGCAGGCCATCAGGAGAAGGCTACTGTACTATGAGAAAGGAGAAAAGACGCGAGTGAGGATGATCTCAGCTTCAACCATCACCTTCACTGAGGAGAACTGCTTTCAATCACTAAGGTGTTCTGACAAAGATATATTGTTTACAGAGTCGATGCTTGAGGGCTCTCTCCTATCTCTTCTTCCACAGGGGAGAGAATATCACATATGAACAGACTTTTCATGAAGAAGAAAAAAAATAAAAAAGTACTTTTTTACATGAGGAGGAGGTATCCTTTTCACTCATGTCTCTTGAGTAGGAAAGAGAGCTGCTGAAGGATAGAAGGGGAAGGAGCAGGAGGTGTCTGCTATTTCACTCTCCTGCCCTCCACAGCCAGCTTGTAACCTCAGGCACACAGCAGTTAACTGAGGCTTTCACCCTTGACCTTGTGTTCTGGGACTGTAAGCACAGGACAAAAACTTGTAGGCTTCTCAGAGGAAGGGTTGAGCAGAGGAATATAACTGCTGGCAACAGTGAAGAAATGATTATAGATGCCTTCAGAGTTCCCAGAGGAGGGGGGACTGGAGGAGACTAAGACTTGAAACCAGTAACAAAAGGGGAAGAGCAAACAAGTATTTGAGTACATGTTTAGTGCAAAATAAAGGTGTCAAAAAGAAAATTAATGTAGACACCAAGAGACAGGAAAGGAAGAAATTCTTACCTTCATGTTAGGAATGAACAAGAGGATCTGAAATTACTCGTTTATAAGCAGAAGTCTTATTCAGTTGGTATTACTGAAATTCAATAGAAAAAATTCCAAGATCTCTCATCACAACTTACTAAGATCAAGCAGACAAAAAAAGGATATAGTGTAGTTTCTGTGCTTCAAATGCTATTACCTGTTTCTAGGTCTCTAATAGCTCCAAATCAAAGAGTCTTACATGCTTACAGATTAATGAATGAGCAGATGAAGTATAAAATAGGACAGTAGATGATGTCTGCTACACAGTCACTCCAGAGAATAAGACAACCAGCTCCATAAAAAGCAATCAATAATCCACTGAGGAGAAAGAAAGCCCTATTATCCATCTGGAAGACTAAACTACTGGAGATCTCAGACTGCCAGCATTAAAATGACCTTGAAATTTCTAATTCAGAGGGCATTTCATAGCACCCAAGAGGAATTTATATTAAACCTCATCTTGACATGAGGGAATTGATTTTGGCACAAAACACAATTAACCATTCAGGGGAAGGTGGATCATAACCTAGTAACAATTTGTGATATGCCATGAGACCAAACCAGTTTTGAATAGATAAGGTCCATAAACATGAAACCAAATATGAATCATGTCAGCCAGGACAGAAATGTAATAGATAACTAAGATCTGAGAACCATTTAAAAACACTAAGCTTGCAAAAAGAAATCTTAATGCTATACTGGGGTAAAGCTTAGGTAGGAACGGAAGCATAGGGAACTGTAAGAAACCCTCAACACATAAAAAGACGGAAAACTAATAAAACGTATACCTGTGAGTGGGTAACGTATGCTGGGAGGTGAAAGAAAATTACAACAGAAGTAAAAGAATTAACAGAAAGTCTCAGAGACTCAAAAATAGGTTTTAAGGTACCCAAAGAATAGACAGAAACCTAGCAATGATCTTGTTCCTTTACCAAATAGGCACAGTGGAACTGTTAATAAGAGGACAGAAAAGATGACACATCCGATTACTATTTCCACTCTGCATTTAAGGAAAAAAAAAAAAAAAAAAAAAAAAGTCTGCCATCCTACTGTCTGATGGAGAAATACTTTCCACTTCAACAGTAACTAACGACTATGCTGAGGTCAGATGCTTGAAAAAGTAGCACATTCATATAATATGTACTGAAGAATTTTAGAGCACTTTTCTGCTCTAAAGAGAGCAGCTATGGACACAGCAACTCATAGGACCATTAACATTCCTCCTCAGTATCTCTTGGAATACAAAGGAAACTCCACAGGACAAGGAAGAAAGCAAATGTTGTAACAAACTTCAAAAAGCATTAGTGTGATGGCTGGGACATCTGTCTGTCAAGTCAACAATAATGCCAGGAAAAAAATATTTTGTAATAACTTATATGGGATTTTACTAATAAATACATAGTATGACACGCAATGTCAGTCAATACAGATTTATGACTAACATGCCTTGTCAAACCAGTTCAATATGATTCTTGCAAATTACAAGTTTGACTAATAACAACTGAAAAATATGCATTAGAATGAGATACTTCACAGAATCACCTCAAGTTGCTTATCTATATCATAGTTAACAAAACTGTGATGACAGAAGGCTCTTTAATCTATCAGGATACAGTATCATGAGTGCTAATAGTCAGAGGCGAGACATTTAGAAAGGACAAATTGTTAACTGTGAAGGTAAATAGTAAACAGAATAATTTGTTATCAGTTGTCTTGGAGCTAGCATGTGTATATGATCAAATTATACAGATTTGTGTGCCATGCCCTTAAAAACTACAGAGAAAATATCCTTGTGTGCTACACACTGAAATCCTCCAGATTTAATGCAAAAACCAACCAAAAGAGTATCCCGGCTCAAGAAAGTCAAAAAAAGTCCTTGAGATAAAAAAGGCTGCCTCAAATAATATTTTCTCCTCTTGAAACAGTTGAGGAATCCAGATACCCTCATCCAGAAGCACATAAGCAAAGCTGCTTCAGATGCTGATAAAAAGGAAGAGATAACCTACTCATTAACCCTATAATCAGATGGGCTATAGTGAGGACACAATCCTCAGGATCAAAGACTGAATTCTGTTTTAAAAAAGTACTGAAAAAGAAATATACACAAGTGGCTACAAAGGAGCCCATCAAGGCATGCCTGTCATTAGAGTAACTACAACATAACAGCACAGGTCAAAGGAGAAGCAAAGTTTCCCTGTAATGCCAGAGGTAAAGAGGGGCAACTATCCATTCAGAGGGAGCTGCTGTGAGTCAGGGAAAGGTTTAGATTAGTAAACATGGGAGTGCTCAAACAAGGTCATTTTTGTTCATACGCAAACCCAGAGCTCAAGGATACTGCGGTATGAGTTGATCCAGTTACGGATAGATGAACAAATTGCCAAGTTCAAACTTATGGGCAAACAGATTATTTACTATCGGGTAAATCAGAGGTCAAATCTCTCCCACAGTAACTGAAAACACTTCAGTTAGCTGAGAAGCAACGTATCGCCTTTTCCAGTGAGGGAGAACCTACTTCAAGCTACCTTGCTTTTACTGACAGATAGATGTGAGCACATACCCTTTTCCATCATGACAGGACACCAGATAGGGAATAAGCTGTCACCCTTCAATAACTTATTCACATATTTATACCCCAGTTATAAGCCTCTCCCCCAAACTCAGAGCGGCTCCTGATCCATAGGTTTTAATCAGAAAAAGTAGGCATCATCCCACACCTCTAACCTCTTACTTGCCTGTTTTACGCTCAAGTTGCTACAACTTTCTGGAGGCAGCTTTGTTAGCTCTTAGTAGTCTGGACTTAATTGTCCATGGCACACACATTCTCCAGTTCCTTGCAGCATAACAGGTTGCTCAGTTTGAGCCACAGATATCTAAATGCAAGTCTCCTTACCTCGATTGTGCTGCAAGAGGACAATAGTGGGATTGACGATTGTGGTAGAGGGATAGGCAGAGGAAGACTTGTTGATTGAAGTGAAGGATGTTGAATAGTCAGTGCCAGTGCCAGGCTGGGGCACTTCATTTAGTACAGGACCTGGGTCCTGAAAGGAGAGCAACACATCATTAGCAGCATGCAGAAGACTGCTACATTGAGAAAATCTGGGGCTGGGGGGGGGTGTTGTAATAAAAAAAAAAAGAAAAGCTGAATAAGAAGCATAATCACAACAAATTTTAGTAAAAAAGGTATAAGCATGAGTGTTACCCTGCTCCTTCTACAAACCCTGCTCATTGTTAATGCAATTAGCTTGCTAAGGCAGTAAGTACTATAATTATTTGGTGTTGGGTTTCACAACTCCAAGCCCAAAAGGAGGCACTAAGTTCATCCAACAGACTCTCTGGAGCAAACACAGGGTGCCAGAAATGAGCCAGTCTGGTTGCGGGTGGGGGGCGGGGAGTGGGGAAGACACAGACATCTTTCCCCTGATAGGTACACACACAAACATTTGTTTTAAAAGTATTCCTTTCACAGAAAGAAGTCAGACGTGCAAAACTCATGCAATTCTGGAGTGAAACATTACTACTGCAGCTGGTTTGGTAAGGAAGTTCCAAGGAATAAGGTTAGCATCATCACTCAGGAGACAGCGTGACACCTACCTGGTTAAAATAATGAAATAAAAAACCCCAAAATTGATAGAGGGTGAAAAGCAGGACTCTAGCAAGGAAGATACTCAACATGGCTTTGCTGCTGGAGCACAAATAGCAAGCTGCTCTTGCTCTCCTAAAGCGTCCAACTCAATTATTTGCTTATTTCAAACCCACCTCTGGTATCACCACAGCTCTGGTTATTCTGTAGAAATACAGGCTGTGTCAGCGGGGAGACTTTAAAAACTAGTTCATCTTTGAAAAATCTCAGTCCAGGGTTACTGGGCTTTTGTTGGTAGTAAGGGGAAGAGATAAAGAAGGGACAATGACTAAAGACCGTGCATGACAGTTTAGGCTGAGATTTTTCAAAGCTTCCTAAGGAATCTGGACACACAATTACTGTTAATGGGGAATGAGCATCCAAACAGAGTATGGAACAGCATACCAGATTTCTGCACTCCTCTTACTCCACTGTCAGACTCAAATGCTGCAGGCCACTGATCTGCAAAACGGAGCTGAGCATTCACAATGATTTTCATTGCTACCAAAAAACCTGAATATGTACAGAATATTACTCCAGAACAATCCTTATTCCCAGCTTTTCTGGCCAGGTGCAACTCAGCACTTTTCATACCCACCAGCATCAGGGAAAGGACTTGCAGGATCAGGCAGGGGGCTGGACAGGGGTCAGAGTGATGCCTGGCAGCAGAGCTCAGAGATAAAACACAGTGAGAACTGGCCACAATCAGAACAAGCACCTACAGCCTAAAGGAGAAATAGGCAAGAACAATCCTGTTCTGCTGGATGGAGGTGATCTTGCTCCAAGCAGCATCTAATCAGGCCATAGACATTTCATGAGGACAGAAAAGAATCAGTGGTCTTCAGAAACAGAGGTCCCTAAGACAGACCCGGCCTCATTTTGCTGGCTGTGATAAAATTCCAAACAATGCAATTTGGGAAAAGGAGTGGGAGTCAGGGAGAAGTATGAAAGAGTTGGGTTTGAGCTTCACTTTGATAACTAAAACATAAAGAACCCCTCAAAGAAGAAGGATGTCAGATCAGGGTAGGCTCAACAGTCCCAGCCAAGTCACCAAAGCGGGTGAACAAAGACCATTTAAATCATTGTGGAAAACAGCTCTGTGACTACATGCTTGAAGTGAGCATGCCCAAAAATGTTTCAAAGCTCTCATATCATGAAAATAAAGTACAACAAAATTTCCACTACTCTAGGATTTGGATGCCTGCTGAATTTTTCTGGAGCCTGCAGATAGGCTCCATTTAAAAAAAAAAAATAAAAAGAAACAACAAAACACTGAACAAACCCCCTAAACTTTCATTGTTCTCTGCAGTAAAAAATGCACTGATTTCAACAGAAGCAGAAAGGCCAACGCTGAGAAATTTTGAAAATGTCATCCTTGCTTGTTTTTTTTTCTTTTTTCTCCCCACATGCCTGTTTGCTAGATCCCTTTAGAGTCAGAGGGCAGAGAAAGAATCATCATGAGAGGAGTGGGTTTTTGCTGAACTTCTTACTTGTCCTTACAAGCAATCACATTAAAAAAAAAAAAAAATACAGGTGGTTGTAAGACTTCCAGTACAAGGAGGGCCAGGTTCCTTTTGCCTCTGCTGCAACTTTAACTGAGAGCTATTTTTTCTCCTTGCCCCTGAGGACTTTTTAAACAGGTGATGAGCTTAAAGAGAAACAAAACCTAACTCAAGAAGAACATAGTAAATTCCAAGTTAAAACTGTTGTGGATTAATTTCTTTGAGGTTTTCAAAGACGAGCAATTCCCAACTGAAGAGACACTCTCTCCCTAATCTATCCCATAGTCCACCTACATGCTTGGAAGACTCTTCGCTCAGTAACTGATATTACTGCTTGTAGGTCATTGGATACTAGCAGCAATCTTACACTGATTTCAGCAGGGATTTGTTGCTCCAAGTGGAACAGAAAGCCAGCCCTAACCTTTAACTGGTCTGCTGTCGCTGCTTTAAATGTTATTGAAACACAATTAAGGATGCTATTAAAAGAGCCTGAAGAGATCAGTTAGTTGCAGCTATTCTGTTTCACAGAACTCATTATTCTGAGCAAATCCTGTTAAGATTCTTAAGGTGTGCATCACCTAGCAGAATGGGCACAAAGTGAGACAGTCAAATATTGTTGCAAGAAGTCAACAGAAAGTTCAAAGCTGCACAAGGCAGGCAACACGCATGCACTAGCACAGGACATAAACAAGGTTTCAGTTGCCATGCTGCCAGCAGGGAGTGAGTCATCACTCTTCTCTCAAGTTTAGTATTGCAAGGAGAAAGTAATTTTAATCTAGGGATACAAATTTAGGAAAAGGGCGAGGAGGGTACTTGGCAAGCTTACTGTACGTGAGATGACTCCAGTGATTTCAGGCTTCAAGCCTCTGTGCAAAGACCCCGTGACTGGAGGGATAAGTGAAGGTGGTGATGAGAAGAATGGCAGTTTCGGGTAAACAGAGGGTAATGTGCCAGATGCAGAGGGTGCTTGGTTATGGTGGGAACCCCTCTGGAGATGTGGGGGAATGAAATCATCTAGAGTTGGAAAAGTCAAGGGTGAGCCAGAAGAAACAGTCTCAGGGAATACGGAGCCTTGCCCGAAAGGAACCAGAGGCGGTGGTGGAGTGCTGGAGCTGCCTTCTTGCTGTCTGTCTGGATTAACCTGGAGGAGGGGGACTACTATAACCCCAGGCTGAGCTGTGGTGGTGGCAGTGGCATCCTGTAGGAAACAAGGTGTTGTTATGCAATGGGGGAGATTGCTACTTCAGTCTAATGCAGCCATATAGTGTCATGCAAGGATGCACCCAAAACGATATGAAGGCCCAACAGATTTTCTTTCCTTAAGGAAGATATACTTCTTCAGTTTTGCAGCCCTGACATCTATGAACACACATGGTTTTTCACAAAAATCTTCCTTCCCCTCACCATCCCTCTTCAGTTCTGTGCAGTGAGGCTAAATCAAACCACAGAACAGCTCTGCATTCGCCATCGCTCGAGAAGCACTAACCATCACGTTACGGAGTTTGCTTCTTTTACACATCCCTAAAATAGAAATTTCCTTGCTAGCCCAACCCAACCCCCTACAAACACCACACTCACAAACACACAGATCAATGTTGAAGGGGTGTGCGCACGGTGTTAAGTATTATCAAGTAGAAGACCAGAAGACTTCAGTGGCACAACGAGTACTCAGAAATTAGGCAGGAGGGGAATAAAGCATTAAGGGAACATCATAATGAATTAAAGAACCGTTCACACGGGTGAAAGAAAACAAGGTTACGGAGAAAACATGTACCATGCTGCGTCCCATTGCCTTGTATGGTGGCTGTCGCTGCTGAGTAAGGTAAGGCTCTTTTCTCATCCTGTCCTCTGTGGCAGCTGTGCTCTGGGGCTCTAGCACTTTGTCCCTCACAGCTTGCGGAGGTGATGACTGAGTCCAGGAGGGTTGGCCCGCACCATAACTAACTGCGTCTTTACTGAGGACAATGTAAAAGTACGGCCTGGGAGGAATAGGAGGAGGAGGAGGAGCAGGAAGAGGCTTTCCAGTATCTGTTACAGAGGAAACAATGTTGGTGGCTGGTGCCTGAGTGAGCTCAGCACCCAAACTGGTGCTGGCTGCTGGGTCATGTGTGGTGCCAGTGGAATTTTCAGATGCGGCTGAGCAAGTGCTGTTAGATAAACAAGCTACATATAGTTTGGTGACCTTTTTATCCGCCTTCGTCTCATGACTGGTATTCATTCCAGCCTTACTACAGGGATTTGCCCTGTCAGGGTTGTGTTGTATGGACGATGCATCCGACAAGGAGCAACTTTCCAAGAGTGGCTGCCCAGCATGCACCTCGTCTTTGGGGCCTGATGAGGGAGAATGCCCTGTTGGCAAGCCTTGCTTCCCACTGGGGACGGCCCCATAGGGAGTAGGTGATGAGAAATAACACCGTGCACTGGAATTTGGTGATGCACGCTGCGTATAAGGCTTGGGTGCATTCAGGTACACGCAGTCCATGATGGGCACTGGCAAAAGGTTGGTCACTTTAGTGTCAGTGCGAGGACGCCATGCAAAGCTTTCCTCTTTGGGAAGAGGAGGACGAGGAGGAGCAAGGGCCTGCCCAGGCAGAGTCAAGAAGCAAGAGAGGGAGAGAAGAAGCAGCACCAAATGAAAGGAAAAAGGAAGGGAAAAATAAATAAATTTGATGGATGAATTCCGTCATTAGACTTGGGTCAAGCAGGTTTTAATACAGTAAGAACAAAAAGCAAATACAGTATCTGGAAGGTCAGCGCAGAACTCACTCACACACATCATCTCACACCTTCTCTCTGCCTCAGCACTGCCCACTGCAGCACGCAAACTTTACCCAGTTCTCAAGTTCCTGCCTACATGTTTCTCTCTCTGAGCTAAATAAATCTCAGTGCTGTATTGTTTCAAGAGGCCTGCACAGCAACACCCACCATGCCCCTGGGAAAGCTTGAGTCAAGATTTAACATCCTGGCTAACTAAACTCAGGCTCATGCCTGTGTAACTAAACACTTCCCAGCACTGGGGACATTTGAATCACAAAGCCAAATTCAGAGCTCTAGGCCACCTCTGCATGTTAAGCGCACTGCCAAAAAATGAACACTGCGAAGAAGTTTCACCAGTACTAATGAAAGCAGACATCATGTGAATACTATAGCCTGCCACAGCTGGCTAAGTAAAAAGTCAGCATTTCTTCCTTCTAAAAGCCAGCTCTTGAATTCTATTCACGATTTTTCAGTCATGAAAATTATTTCAGGAAGATCAGAACAAAAGTTTCTTGAGGAATTGAGCTCATAAGAATTTGCCTCAAGAATCAAGACACTACCAGAGAAATCCTGCTTCTAGTAAATAATAAAAAAAGCTTTACTTGTTTTGGTACTTTGTAACATATAGGTTGCTAATTTCACAACTGCCTGCCAACTGCAACTCCAACTCCAATTACAACAAATTTTTTCTGAAAGCCAAACTCTTTTCGAGTAAAATAACTGTGCAACAGAGAGGTTTCGTTTTATTTATTGTTTTGTTGCCAGTAGCTGAAAACTATAAACTACTGAAAGGAAGAGAATTAAAACACCCACCTAGTGAACAGTATTTCCTGCAAATGAACCCTCTGGAGACTATGAAAGTAGGTTTTACACACCCTCTGTTGTACTATCTTTATAGGCAAAGGCTGACTAAACTGCTGCGAAAATAGCCAAAACTAGAGAATGAAAATGCCTTAATAGCTTGCAACATTTCAAACGTGAAAAAACACCTCCTTTAAAGTTCATCCACATACGACAGGTTGTGAACAGCACCTATTCTTGTTACACGGACATAGACCTAGAATAGCTGCATATAATTACAGCTGCTGTCCCAAAATCTACTGTCCTCATGCTGCCCCTCTTTCTCCTCCTTCCCTGATGTGTAAGGGAGTGGAGAAGTGGGTTGTAGGCATTCCTTCTGAAAGGCTTATGTTTCTGGAACAGGCTCGTTCCTTTTGATTCCTTAAGGATAGTAGTTTCAGCCTGGAGACTTCACAGTGCCACAATATTTCCCCAGTTAGGCGAAGACTCACTTTACCAATACATAGTACTATCAGGAAATACTAATTCACCATCTGCAATTGCTGTTTTCCACTTTCTTCCATTTCAAATTAGTTTGGACAGCAGTCCTTGAGACTTCAATAAGAAGTACTATGTGCATCAGCACTCTGTTTGTTCATCAAGATCAATAAGGGAGTACAAGACAGCTGTAAGTATCAGGCAGTAAACAGGTCTCCTTTACGGTGCTGCGCCTTCCCATGCCTTCTTCCAAGTTGTGCCTTCTTCCACTTTCACTTACAATTTCAGGAATGGTGCCTGTTATGTGACATTGCTATAGGTCCCTGATGATGTGAGCAGTCACCCTGATAGGGGATAAGACTTGAAAGGGACTCTGTTTCACACCAGAAAGAGGTTTCTAATGAAGGGTTTCCTTATCAGCTTTCAGACTGCTTCTGTGCAGACCGACCATCCAAAAGAAAAAGGACGAAGTTACACTTGTCTTAACAGGTTGACTTCAACAATCACCTTCAGGTACAAATAACATTTCCCTTGCTGGCTTGTATCAGTTACAGCATTAAAACTGAAAGGCATTTCCCCAATATCTTGTTTTTAATGTAAGGTGTAACTCTGCTTTTGGCCTGCAGCAACCTCTAGGAAACAGACCAACATAAATGACAAATAGTAACAGACGACTACTTCACCTTTTTTCTTGCAAACAATTAGCGTCCTCCTCCTTCATTCATCAAGGAAACACTGTGGCGTGCTTGAACACACAAGCTCCACAGCACTCTGCTGACATCAGTGCTGCCCCCATTTTAAAGGTAGGAAAAGCTGAGGCACAGCAACTTACCCAAGTCTGCAGCAAAGTTTGGAGTTCAACCCAAGATTCCTGACCATGAATCCAGTGCTTGAACCCAGAAGATCACCCTCAGGTCACAGAAGAAAGGCTTACCTGTGGCTTGCTGTCTGAGGAAAGGTTCGGACGCACACTTCTATAACCCTTGGCAGCCAGAGAAGATGGCTGGGCATCCCCATTGGCATTAGTGTCAGATGATGACTTCCAATCATCTACAAGGGGAGGAAAACTCAGATCACAGAGGATTCCCTCCAGCTACAGGACGAGCAAAAGGATGGGACTCCTTTCTTCCTTTTTTTTTTTTTCCTTTTTTTTTTTTTCCAGGCAACAAGATATACTTCCAAGACAGAAACAGAACCAACAACATAAGCAGCCAATGTTTGTACCTGTTTCTGGGTTTTGTGGCTCCAGACCTAAGCATTTCACAGAAAGGAGGGACAGAAGAGGTGAGGGGGGAGGACAGGCATAGAGGAAAAGAAAGGGGAAAAAAATAAACCATTACATTACAGAAAATACGTACCAATTGAAGTAAAGAGTTCAGCTACTTCATTTCACACATAAAATGCTTTCTGACAGGGTTGCCTTATTACCATAGAGACCAGCCCTAAACATGATGTCCTTCTTGTTTCTGACCTTTGTAAACACAAGGCAATTCATTCAGAGCAATGAAGAAACAATTGTTCATTGACATTCTTATTTCAGAGGCAAAAAGGCAGCCCAGCTAGCTATGTTCTAAAGCTGCAGTTTGACATCCAGACACCACAAATTACTGGAAATTTAGGGACCCTGTATTCAGCCATGATACAGGCTATGAAGACATTATCTGTCCTTAGCAACATCACTATGTATGATTAACTGAGATAAAGGACTGCCAACAAATAGATCAGGTCTTGCAGACTAAGTGCATATGCATGAAGGGAGTCATAAAATACAATGTCACTTTGCAACCCAGTCCCTGCAGCTAGATGCATTGGTCTCGTAAGCCTCCCAGTGGGCTCCTTCCCACCTCTCTACCCATTTTGCTGTTTAAGTTATATGCAAAAAGCTCTTCCAGCTCCAAAGTACATTCATAAAGCAACTGAGAGACTAAGCAAAGGAAGTATTAATGAGCTGATTTCCATAGTAATGGGCTCATTGCATTCAAGCTGCTAGAAATTTATGAAGCCATCAACAGAAAGGAGAGAGGCAATGGTGGGGGCTAGGAGTGAAGAAACAGAGAATGGCAAGCAGGAAAAGAAGGTAGGTCACGGATGGAACAGAATGGGAGAAGACAGAGCAGAAAGCAGCACATTGGGGCTGGAATTAATGGAATTGCCCTTCCTCCAACAATACAGTCAGAAATAATGTATGCTTTGCTTTCAAGAGCAAGTTTGACCCCCTCCCCCCTTAATGGCATCTTCCCTTTGGGAGCTCATCATCTGCGCCAGACCCACAACACTGGCCAGGTTTGCTATGCTTTGCCTGTCTCCAACAATTAAGTAATTACACGTCTGCTACTGAAAGATGGCAGAGCTCTGTGGCAACACTGTCTGTCTGGGACGCTATCCCTGCTCCCTTGACAACCCAAGTGAATGCTATGGTGGCAGTAGCACCATTTGGCCTCTTTCTGTTCCACCGCACGCCTGGGATAAAAGGAGGTGACATGGGCCTCCCAGGAAAAAAAAAAAAAAAAAAAAAAAAATTAAGAGGTTTTGATGCTCCTGACAGCAAGAGGGAGATGTAAACAAACTTAAGCCAATGAGTGAGTGGCCACTAAATCTGCACTAGGAGAGAGCAGGAGTCAGTCTCCCTCCCCTGGTCTGGTTCTTGCAAGAAGTTTCCAATTATGCTACAGGATTTTGGGCTTTAAATCATAGTTAAAAAAAAAACTTCCCCCAAGACCCTGGACTGACCTCTCTTGAGGTTATTGTGAGTAACACATCTCAGTTAACCTTCCACCCACTTACTTTCAGGTTGCTCAACATCCTGAGGACATGGTGAAGTGATATTCTGATTCTCTTCATAGGCTGGAGATGCCCGGAGGGTCACAGCTCCTTTTCCACTGCAGACTTTAGTGGGATCCATTTCTACAGGAAATGCACATGCACAGAGGAGACACATCGAAACAGATGATACAAAGCTATTCGGAGCTATTAGAGGTCTATGGAGTAATTTTAGCATGGCTGCCTCTGGATGAATCAATCTAGTAACATTTATGCAGATGAAGATTAGCTCCGGATTTAAAGCACTGAGAAATCAAAGCAGTTTCATATTCATGTAACTGATGAATGCAGAAGTAAGTTCTGAGTCAGTGTAACAGAGCTAAGAAAGGAGGAAAAAAGGATGAATGTTTGAACCAAATTCCACAGGTCTATTTGCTTTATTTGGTCTGCTTTGTGTGACAATATTGTACTAGCAAGGACATTCTACCATTACAGCTGTGGCTCTTCTACAGGGATATACCCAGCAGTATAAAGCAATATGAGTTGTGTGCTAAAGCCTTAGAAATGCCTTTTGTGCAGGACTGAAAGAGGAAAAAAAAAAAAAAAAAGTCTTATGATCACTAGAGGATAACATCTTGTAACTATGCTGACTATTATCTAAAGGCAGGGTACTGCAAGACATCTTCTTGCCATCTCACTATTTCATGGCAGTGTTTCACCTTCTGACATAGGAACGCAAATCCCAAAAACTAGAAGGAGATTTAACATATACCTCTTTGGATCAACCTGTGAGCCAGACAGCAGATCATGCCAGTGTGCTTGCTGAGGCCAGATTCAGCACAGGTTCTCTGTAGGCTTACCTTTGCGCGTTTCAGTCCGTGGACTGTTTGGTTTTTTTGTTTGTTTTGTTTTGTTTTTTTTTTTTTTTTCTCCCGTCATCCTATTAACTAATAACAAACTAGTACTTCAAGGCTATCTTCCTCCCCTTACTTAAAATCCTTCCAGAGCGTTGTTTCCTCTAAGATACCTATAGAAACAGTAAGTCTAAAGAGTCTCTCACTTATCTAAGCTACTTCCACAGGAAACCATATCACCTTCCTTTCTCATGCACTATTACTGACCCTGCAGCTGCCATCAGACTTCACTTTAACTTACCTAAACCGAGGTGCTAGTCCTACCATGACACTGCACAGGGAGCCTGAAGAGATACTGAGCATGTGCTGTGTTACACAAATGACAACACAATGATTTTTATTTTTATGGAGTGAGGATCATGCTATCTCTGCATGGGGAGGCATGCAGGTCCTCTCTAGGAACTGTTATTACAATGAAAGTTCAGACTGGAGAGAGGGGGCAAAGACTGCTGCTTATTGCCCAGACAACAGCCCATGTTTGTGCGGACGAACATTCCCTGGCTGGTTTCAGTAAGATAATGCCCCGTTAAACCCACACCAGTACAGTGCCTATAGATCATGACAACATCTTGGCTAAGGCTGCAAAACACACAAACCACAGCCAAGGTGGCCACAATATAGGGAAACATCAATAGTGTCAGATGGACAACAGCAGTAAGGCGAAAGAGTCAACAAACGTCAAACACCTGGCTCACATTGAAAGTTCTCTATGCTGGAATCACTGCAGTTCAAGCTTTAGGGATTTCACAAAAAGCACAGCCTCAGAGACACACTTAAGACTGGAAAAAGGGTGGAATAAGTAAGGAAGCAGATGATACCTTCCTACAGTCCAGCCTTTAGTTTAAGCAGCATTCAGGCAGCCTCTGTGAGGGGAAAGACTATTCACACAGACGTATCAAATGCTGCCTAATCCTTAAACATAACACATTTGCACTCACACAACTGATCATGCCTGAGCTCATCCACATGCCTGGTGAAACAGAAGTTGACTTCTCCGACTTATTTTCACATGATCCAGATAGGGTCAGGACTCCTTTTGCCTGGGAGTCAGTGCTGGCTATTGTTCCCATCCACACAGCACAACACAGGACTGTGGACTCTACGGACCCACTTTCAAACCAGAGGACAAAGGTTTAAGCTCTGGGATTCCAGTTTCAAGAGTACTGTAATTCTGAGGCACAGACACATTGTTAGGAGTCACCAGGCCCTATTTAGACGTCTACAAAGAGTGCAGCATAGCTGTTCTCCTACGTTCCTATACCTTGATTTTCTTCACAGGCACTGAAGAGAAATGGAAACACATAGGGTTGAACATGTCACAAATGTCTCCATCATATTGCAGGGGAATCAAATTTGAGAATCAAAGCACTTTTTTCATCTTCATACAACATATTAAACCTGTATACCAAATCAAAAGAACTAAAGAAAAAAAATTTTTAAAAGGTTTGAAAATGAAATAGTCAAGACTATTTCAATTTGGGAGACGAAGACAAATACCTAAGGTGTTGAATTCCCTCACATCCAGCAGATGGTAATAAACATGACATTAGCACTGTGCTAGTCCAACAGAGCACACGTGTGACAGATTAGGAAACAAAAGCAGTATCAGCTAGACTAGTCTGACTGTCCAAATCTAGCAAAATACAAAAATAATCTTGTACTTTTAGTGGGAAAACATATGCTTGGGGAGGGGGTGACAGACAGCCTAATATCCTTATTTACCCATATAGAGATTCTGTAAAGTCAGTGTACGAACAGAAAAACAAACCCATCCCACCAATGTTGAACTATGCTTGAACCTGTAAAATATCATCTCCAACATCCATTTACTTTCATAAAGACTCAAGATACACAGGAAACATTCTTTGGTTCATCAGGAGTTTGTTTCAAAATGAGGCTGTAATAACAATATTATTCATAATCAAGCATTAGAAGAGCATACAACGACCCCAGATTCAAGTAGACACAATTATGCCTGCAGAGGAGCAGCATAATTGAGAACAGTGTATTGTGCCATCAAGAGCTAACTTTATTACCTACTGATGAAATCTACAGCTCTGGAAACAGTGAGAAGAGGAAGAAGCTGAAAACTAGCCAAAGTGCGTGGGTGAAGCAGCGGGGCGGGGGGGTGGAGGGGTGAGGGAGAGAGAGAGAGAAAGAAGAGAAGATGGTCAACTAATGCATGGCAGGGGCAGGAAGGAAGAAGATACCTGTAGGCAGCACTAGGTGAGGAGAACTTTTCACTTTCTTCACAGGGATTATTTTAACGGCAGAAATAGAGCGTGCACATAAAGGGACGTCAACAGCTGCAAACACAAAAGTGTAAATGGCACATCCAAAAAGGGAAGAACAGAGTTTGGGAAGCATGCCACAAAATTTCCTAATGTACTTGGAGACACAATAGCAGGAAATTTCAAATACAAAAGCAGTCCAGAGAGCAGTGATGCAACTGTTAAAAATATCCCTTCATTTGCCCTAATTCAGGACGTGTCTGTTTTATGCAGCATACAGATCTGCTTACTGAATTGACTAACTGCTGACTGCCACTATGCTGCAGGCAAAAAGAATCTGGAAGCATTGGTTTTTAGAGGCCATCAAAAAATTTCAGTGTAATCATTTAGCTGAGACACACTACATGCAAAAATAAAAACATTAAGCTAACATGAATGTTCCTCAGTTAAAACAAACTAAAGTGAAAACACAAGGATTGAAAGGTTGAGAGAGGAACATTAAACTAGCCACATTACATGAATTCTGGATTTTATGGCACATATTTTACAAGTTCAGCAACAGAGGGAAGTGAAACATCAAATAATCTTGAAAATAGTCCCAGGCCAAAGGATAGCATCAGAATATTCATTCCAGAAAAAATCCATCCATTTAAACAGTAAACTGAAGAGACTTCTACTGGACTCCATCAGCTAGCACACTAATTATACTAGATATAGTAACATAGGGGAAAAACCATACATAGCACTGGGCAAAATTCTAGCAATTGTTACAACACTTTCCAAAGCAGCTGGTCCTTCCTTTCTCTGACTCTGCCTTGCAGCTAACATAGAACGCTTTTTAAATTAAAAAAAAAAAAAAGGGGGGGCAGGGGGAGGGGTGGTGGTAAAAAAAAGGCAAAGACAAAACTACTCAGAGGTGAAGCTCAACAGGATCTGCCAAGATGAACATCTTGTAAATCATGGCTCCATCAGAATAACTTAAGTTGTGCTCTTGATTTCTGCAGAGCCAGGATTTTCTCCTTTAAAACCTATTAGCTTTCTGCACTTAACTGGAAAATGCTAAGTGCCTCCTCAACATTCCATGCCATCTCTCTCAGGCCTGCAAAATCAGGAGTAAGAGGAATCACATTTCTAATACTTTACACAGCAATACTGAGCACTTGGCGATCTTAAGGAAGGCACTGACTGACATCAGGGTGGTGTGTACACCCCCTCTTGTGGCAGATCTTTGTGGTCCCTGGCGAAAGGGGAAAGCACATACTTCACCAAGCTAGAAAAGAGCTCAAGCAAAAGGACGGGGGAATACCTTGACAGAATTTTTTTCAAACCTCATAAAATCATTAGTTTTTAATTTGATGGGATTGTTTTAAATTATTTTTTTATAAAAGAGGAACCCAAATCAAAACCCCTGTTTCTCCATGCTTCTCCCTGAGCACTGGAGACCCTGCAAACACAATAAATCCCAAATCCAAACAACCTGTGGTTTATGAAACAAACCTAATTCTGCTCTGTAACTGACTGGATTCATCCATCCACAATGCAGTCAAAATACTAACCACTATAAAAAGACATCAAAGGAAAAGAAGGGAAATGAAACTAAGAGAAAACCAACCCAATACAAGCACATATTTTCACCCTGCCAAAATAGACACCATCACTACACAAAACTGAATGCTATATAAAGCACACTGCAAACCCGCTGATGTTAATATGAAGATTGGTTTGTTTAGGTAACTTTGGGGTATAAATAGTTGTTGCTAATGACAGATTTTTAAATTTTTTATTACTTAAATTGTTAGTTCCTGCCCTTTAATCCCGGGATCAAACCTTCTACTCCCTCTGAAGTTAACAGGATTCATTCAGAGGCACCCACAAACACATGCTGTCTAACCACATTAAGATACTGATTCATAGGTGCTCACAAGTACCACAAAGTAGTGCACAGCTTCCCTCAAAACAGCACTAAAAATATACAGAGAGGCAAATCCAGCCTGGCACCTTTAAGAGACAAAGAACACTTGTTGAGCTAAGACATGCTGCTGCTGCTGGCATAGTGCAGCACAAGGCTTTTCTTGTATCAGTCGCCAAGCAAACTAAATTTGGAAACCCCTGCTGTAGTGAATATCCAGGGAAATCAACCACATCACGCAGCTGACATGCAGGGGGAGCTGCAGAGATGTCTCTGAAGCTCTTAACCCACCTTTTTCTTGTCCATTGCTGCTCAGCCCATTGACAACAGTTTTTGCAACATCAATTTCTTCACGTTCTGTAAAACAAATGAAGAAGCATGTTTTAACCTCTGCAACTGAATTTAACCTCTGACTATGAGGGGATGCCACGGGTCAGCACTACTTGATTCATGAACTAGGAAGTATTCCTACTATCTCACAGGAGATGTTGCTTGGAGACACAAACCTCCCTTGGATAACACACCCTGTTTCTCCTTTCCCTTTGCCTACCTGGATCACAGCCTCTTTTAAACAGAGACTGTCTCTGTATGTGCATATGGCATCCAGCTCAGTGATGAGATTTTCAAGAGAGATTTTTCAAGTCTGCAACGTCCTGAGCTGATAGGAATAAAAACCGGTTCTTGTGAATTCAGAGAAAAGCAGAAGAGAAGATAGTGCTAGAAAGAACCTCCAAGGGTCATCGAAAGCCATATTCTTGACCCATAGGAGAAACAAATCTACCTCTGTCACTACTGACAAATGTTTGCCTAACGAGTTCTTACAAACTTCCAACATCACCCTAAAGCAACCTGTTCCAGTGCTTCATAAGCTCAAAGCTTATCAACGCTTAATCCAAATTCCCAGCGCATGTTTTTCAGACCCCAATTAATCTCCTACCTTTCCTTCTACTGTCTCCAAATGGTTCGTGTTTTTCTCAAAATGTGGTGCTAAAAACTGGACGTGATACTCCAGCTGAGACTTGATAAGGTGCAAAAATCAAGTGGGAATATTATTCCACAGGTTCTACATATGGCACTTCAGTATGGTGTTTGCTTTGGTTTTTACTGTGATTTAGTCTGTTACCCAGACAAGCACAGTTTTCCTCTTCCCAACCAGCCCCCATTTCCTGGTCCCTCATTTTTCTTTGAACAGCTGATTTTTCCTGTCCAGATGTCGAACTTTGCATTCACCTCTACTAAAACATATCACATTCTTTCAGGTGATTTTTTCAGGTAATCAATAATTTTGAATTCTTGTGTTCCAAAGTGAAAGAAGCTAAAGTGACCTACTCCAGCTCAAGATGTTTCTAGTAATTTTTTTGAGCATTATGGGCCAAATTGAAACAACAAACATGAAGCCAGGACACTTTTTACTATGAAGCCATTTTGCTGTTGTCGTAATAGTCAAGATTCCCTGAGCTTTCAAGGGCTTTGACTCTTTTCTGGGAGGCAGAAAAAGAGTCAAAAAAAAAAAAAAAAAAAAAGAGTAAGTAATTGCATCAGAAACAGACAGGAATATTTCTAGTAATAAAAACGTATGCCAATGAAGGCAAGCGGGAAAACAACACAGACTTACCAGAGCTCATTGTGGTGGAGGGACTTGTCTTTTTCACTTCTGGATTTTGTTTATGTCTGTTTAAAGTGAAAGGCAGAATGGTTACCTTGCGTTTCATGTCTGCCCAGACAGCACTGGACATGATGCTGAACATTCATCACAAAAGTCAAGGTAATAGTCACAGTTTCTTAAAAAAAATTACTTTCAAAACCTAAATGGATTTATGTCAACCACCAGTTACATTTTTTGCTGATAATTATCTGAACTTAAAGAGTATTGCCACCCCATATAGGTAGTACTTTCAGTGTGTAAGACTAATCCTCAACACTAAATAAGATACTGATTAAAGCCTAAGAATCTATATATGGCAAAGTGCAAATCCAGCTAGCTTCTAATATATAAAAACGTGCATCACCTTTAAGAAACAATTAAAAAAAAAAATCTCAGTGAGACTAAAAGCTTTAAGCTAAAACTCTCATTAGACCATTGCCAGACTTCAAGCCCATCTGTTGCTCAGATCAAAGTCAGTCTCTCCTTTGAAAGATGTTACAATACAGATGAGACACTTGTTGAAATGCGTATTAACTTCTGCATCAATCATTTCCAGTCCTGCAGCGCTGCTGATATTTTCAGGATCAGACTCCACTAAGTGAAACTTCAAAATTAGAAGCTTTAATCCTCCCGAGACCAAAGGCAGCAAAATTACCAGCCCAAGAGAAAAACTACCGGATGGGGACCAGAGGAGAAAAAAGTCAATTTTTATGGTCACGACAGTCTACAGAGGACAATTGTGGAGCCTATCCATATCCAGTGCCCACTCCTGTGAGGACTTGATACCTGCAGCAAACAAACAGGTTCCAGTGTCACACCACAGATGTTGGCTGAACAGCTGAAGAGTAGCATCTCTACAGAACAAGTTTGTGTTTACCAAGATCTCTCAACTCTCTAAAGGTCCTAGGTTGAATTATAAATCCTTTAATTTTGTGTTACAATCTTCCCTGCCACCCCAAAAAAAAGAAGTTAGTGCTAAAGAGAGTGAGATCAGGTATAACTCCAGCCAATTAACGGCTTCCATGATATGAATAGAAATAGGTATCTGAGGCTGTGAAACCATGCATAAACAAAGACTCTAATCTCTGAAGCATGGGGAAAAATTGCTAAGAGAAATAAGAAACTACACAAGAGAGCTGGAGATGTTTTCCTGTTACATGAACTGGAGGCAGCAGTGGGACATTGTAAGAGGTAAAAATTGCCTTCAGGGAATTGAATTTGCTCTCTTGCCTCAAGTATCCCCATTCTTAACTAGCATTTGTTTCATACCAGCCAGAATATAATGAGCATGTTCAACAGATACAAAAAAGGAAAGAAAAGAAAATTCAACAAGATCAGTCTGTAAAACCAGCCAATATCTGGGCTCTCCAGCATGCCACCCTAGCAACAGCTGCCAATAGTTAATTATTTAAATATTTTCTTCATTAAAATATCCAGAGATATACATCATGGGTTGGTGATGGCTCAGCAGGATGCAGCATAACTCCAAGCTGATCCCACTAAAATACAGCGTGAAGTGGAGGGTGCAGTCTAAAACCAGTCAACAACAAAAGCTGAGCCCAACTTAAAGGTCTGCTGCCTGACTTCACTTGCCTGTACAGTATCTGCTTTTTGTTTCTACCATTTCACGTTATCAGTAAGTACCCTGAAACAATAACAGCTGACACAGCCTGAAAATTTAGACAAATGTACTTAACAATAATGGTCTTTCTGATCTCTGCATGTTTCAGTTACAGAAAAATGCCTTACTTCAAGCAAAGCAGAAAGAAACAGGCTAAAATGGTAGGCTATCAAGGCTAAAGAGGTTTGTAGCAGTATCTTGCTCTTCTACACATGGAAAACCATTACAAGTTAAACCCATTGGGTAAGTACAAGTCCCTTCATGGGGCAGTCAGAAAACTACAAGATGCAGTACTACAGTACTGCAGTAAGTCTCAACTTTGCTTTAGGATTAAAGCTGTTGTGAAGCTGAGGAGGTTGCTGGTACCCAAAAGTTTTGACTCAGCACTGGCCCTCTCCATGGGCTTCACACAAGTCAAAAGAAAGTTTCTTCCACTCCAAGCATCCCCAAAAGGTTGCATCCTTCCCTCTGGTATACGAGATAAAAAGGGCAGGAAAATAAATTAAAAAATCTAGTGCACTACCTTTTCAGGAGAGGAAAGAAGAAATACTAGCTCACATGCCTGGGCAAAGGCAGGATCCACTGCTGCTGCAGTTCCAGAGCAACACAGGTCCCCTTCCACTATGGCAGTATCTGAGCAATCGATTATACTTGTGACCCCATGCTTTATACTTCTTTAACTGTCTCATCTCTGTTTAGAAACAGTGTCATCACAACTGCCATAAAACTCTGACTTCAGATGTCTTTTCGATGCGAGAGTCTTGACATCACTTACAGTGTGAACCATTGGCTTTCATTGCATTCAGAAAAGAATTTACACCAAAAAAAGCACAATTATTTGGCCTTAAAAGTGCAAATTACTTTTCACAAGTGACTTGAGGTTAAAAATAAAGTGATAAAGAAGTTTGCTAAAATTAAATGGAGGAGGTGTACAAACTCACTAGAACTAGATCTAGAAAAATGACTTTTCCATACATCCCCACATTTACTAGCAATTATAGAATTCCATGAAAATAACAAGCACTCAAATGAATATATACTTAATGCAGGTTCCCATACACAGAATGGATTCAGTGTGCTTGAGGTGAGTGTAACCAATCCTGAGCGCCTGGGTTGGTGTAACTCCAGAAACTCCATTTAAAAGTTGATTTTGATCAGCTGAGGATCTGCATACAGATTTGCTACACGCAGTAGAAATGACTGCTGTTTAGACTGAGGAAATTATGGTGCACGCTTGGAGTTGAGGCCATGCTTCAGTGCCTTTTGGCATCAGGGCGACAGAGTTGTTCTACCTGTCTCCCATATGCTTAACCCAAACCACATACTGAAGTCCCGTTAGGCTTATCTTAGCCCTAAGGCTGGTCTTGGGCCCAGATATGTGGTCCAGCCAGACAGCACATCTGCCTCCACAGCCCCAGTCTAGCAAAGTGTTGCCCTCTGTAACACTTGAGAAGGTACATGCTGTAAGTCAGCATGCCATGAGTGTTTGGATGGTGCATCCTTAGACAGAGCAGTCCCTGCCAGACTGGCCAGACAGGCTGTCTGTGTGTGGCAGGAGCAGGTGAATCTGGAAACACTTGGTCTCCCAGTTCCCCTCGAGAACTTCCTGTAGACACACATGCAAGTACACACAGCAGCATTTCAAGAAGGGAGCCTTTCAAAGGGAACCAGAAATGAGATCCCTCATGTCAATATTAAAAATAGAGAAACCAGTACCACCAGATCAGGCAAAACAAAACAAACAACCAAACAACAACAACAAAAAGTACTCCAAACACCCCAAGTGTCTCCTTTCAGCTCCCTGCTCTAACCATTAGCCACTGTCTCCTTGCCAGACTTGGTGCCTTTCCTGAAATTTGACAGACATAGCAACAAAAGCTTCAAAGCTGCAGACATTCAAAACACAACGAGAGGTAATGAATTCCTCAGGGCATAAGCCAGCAGCTGTAACCCTGAACAGGACAATATTCATCCAACAACTCCTTGCCAGTTTGGTCAGACCTCTAGACAGAATTTTACACTTGCTTCCTCCCTTTCACCCCCAGCACATTTCTTCAAGGCTGCAACTCCTTCCCTACTTGGTGTGGAAAAGAGAGCAGTGCATTTAGAAAGCCTATTTAGGAGGAATGCAGATAAGTGGCAACTACTTCTGCACAGCACATCTCTGGATTATCTCACATGCTATAAACATTCGAGTACTCTCCCTACAATGGCAGAGGGTAACAAACAGCTCATTAATAGTTCTGAGCAAGGACACGCGCTCTTAAGTCACCGCTATCTCAGCTCAGAGTCACAGGCGGTAGTTATTTTTTGTGGTCTAATGTGCGTGCGGGGAGAAGCAATTTCCTTTCGTTTCTTCTCTTTTTATTATTGACAGCTCTGATGACTCACATTGGATTTTAAAACAATTGCTAAACATGAGATGAGCACCCAAAACTTATTGGGCAGGTCCCTTATATTCCTGAGATTTGGACTCCTGCTTTATCTGCTCAGTTCTCACTTTTTTAGATTTTCAAAGTTTTCTTTCCATATACAAGAGCTTTAAATATTTTATGTCTGCACTTAAATGAAAAATCAAATTCTTATTTATATTAGTATAATCTAGGAGTTGAGGCTTTTAGAAAAATGGTAAACTTTCAGACTTAAGGGATGACTGGTAATCACAAAACTTACTTTCCACCTGATCAGGTCTCACACATCACACACAGCACTCATTTGTGCTCCTGGCTCAGACCCTTTCTCACATTGTCGCCAGTGTCCCTGACCCAGATGCTCTGCTCAACCAGCCCTGCCAGCAAGGTGGAGTCCCAAATCTGGGAAGTGGACAAAGAACTGCACTGCAGCCAGTGCCTCCTATTAGGAGGTTATTCTGCTTATAGGAACTCGCTGGAAAGCAATTCTCCTTTGTATTTCTCACTTTGTACCACATAAAATGTGGCAAGAAAAAAATAACTAGAATACAGGAGGCCGCTCCAAGTTAACCCAGACAATCAGCTCGCTCTCCAAGTATCATTATTCTCTTATCCTGAAATACTGAAATATGTTGCTGGTCATTTTTATTTAAGTGTTAAAGAACATCCTGTCATTCCTCCAGAAGACATCATGCTCCTAAGAATAAATGTAATGAAAATTATGAATAAGCAAGCAGTGCACATAGAAGAATCATATCAACTCTCTGCAACAGCCTCCCCACGCTCTTCAGTGAGCGGTAAGATAGCAGAGGGAGTAGTGAAAGCTCACAAAATTAAACAAATGGCAGCATAGAACACAAGCTTGGATAAGGTGTTCTTATAAATAATTGAACTTAAAGCTGCTAAAATAAATAAATATAGCACATTTCATATACAGTATCACTGCTTTAAAAAAAAAAAAAAAAATAT